TCACCCCCGAATTTCCACAGCACAGTTGCACTGTCCCCTGCTTCTTGTCGCCTTTGAACGGTTTAAATTGAGCAATGAACTCATATAAAATACAGTATTATGTAAGAAAATGATGCATGTAGTTTCCTGCAAACCACTGTTCATTTTACGGTTCTGGTGACGTAATTAAAAAAAACTGAAGAAATACTAAGTCATGTATAAGAAGAGTAACATTAATTTTTTAATGCAACGTTGCTGATACCAGCATATTGGGCAAATGTCCAAAAGATAAATTTTTTGTCTACTTCATTATCAAAAGTATCTTTAGGTCTACAACTACATTAGTTCTGCGGACATTTGTTCAACCTGCAAGTCTGTGATTTGATTCCAGGCATATTTTTCCATATTTCATTTCCTTGAACACTATCACTCTCACTCGTTTTCTTTCCTTCTTGTCCTTCATGTTCTCATTTAGTTCTCCGACACACACCTCAGAATTTTTCTGCACTTATGTTCATTTTTATATAACGCTACTGTGGTAAATTTTTGTGTCATTCCATTGATGGCTTCCGTTCGGCAAGCCAAAACAGTTCAATATTTCAAAGTCAATCGCGCAAAAATCATCGCTTACTGAAAAAGTTGTAAAGCAGTATCTTGTGGACGCGTAATGAAATGGATCTCAGAAGATAAGTATAGTTTTTAATGTGAATGTGCCGAAAATCATTAGTACGTGTCTGTAAAATGGCAATGACTGCGGTTGACTGTACAACTGGAGTGACAGTACCCTGGTCAAGAAGGGAGACCATAAAAACTGATCCAATTATCGAAGTATTATTTTACTGTGCCTTTCGGGTAAAGTTTAGGCAAAGGGGCTGGAGAGCAAGTGCAGGGCAACTGTTGACTCTATGATACGCGGAAAATGCTGTGACTTCAGGATATTTTAAAAACCCCTGATCAGTCCTTTGTCGTACGTCAGATTCTTGAGAAATCAAAGAAGGTTCCTCATCCAGTTTCCATATACTATGTTGATCTGGAAAAAGCCTCTGACTGGATAGCGCCCAATAAGCTGTGGGCGTGCTTGCTAGCATATGGAATAGATGAACGGTTGCTAAGCTCCATCCGGTCATTATATATTGATAGCAGATGCGGCGACAGAGAAAATGGCGCCAAGTCGAGATTTTTCATTGTGGACACTGGTTTCCACCACCGCTGTTTTGTCCCATATCCTACTATTGTTGTACATGGAGAGGACTGTTAAAATGAAAAGCCTTGTGTTTGCTTATTCCCTTGTCCCCTGCGTTTTGCGGACAAACGGAGAAGCAGCGCAGCGAACGGGGAAATTCACTTAACTTGCGGTAATGTTTGCCACTGATGGAAAATGGGAGAAGGACATCTGGAACTCCTGGCGGCGTTATACGTGGCTAAAACTGAACTTGATGACTAAGCTCTTTGGGTCCAAGTCGATCGTCGCAATACAGGCGCTCAATTTCGCTTATAAGTCTTGCGCCATGACTGAAAAATTTGCTTGCATCACATGCTTTCTCGATACGGTGTGGGGGTGAAATATCTGAGGCAGCCTTGGTGCACATTCGCTGCTTCTGCGAGTTGAGAACTCACAGCTGTGATGGTTTGAGAACATCTTGCGGGTGGTTTCAAAGGAAAGAAAACGAATCAGTTAGTACTTGCTGAACCGGCCGGTCGGTCGAAGAATCCGGGGATGGCCAACAATGCGCGGGCCAGGGGTCTTGAAGGACTCTGGTCATCTTGTGCCACAGCTAATGTGCTGTCACAGGATCAGAAATGTTGGAGGCAGTGCCTGACGTATCTTTACGACCTAAAACGACAAGCATTTTTCGAAACCGACGAATTTTTTGCTATTTAAATCTTTTAAAACAGCGTCAGAAAACTAGCGAACATTTTTATCACGAATGATGGCCAGTATCAGTTCACGACTGTAATAATTATGTAAATAATGGCATATTTGTAATTGTTTGGCACAGTATTTTACTGCCAAACCGTCAGTCTGTTAATACTGTAAACATGCTGTGTAAATAATTT